GAACTCACAGAGATCCGCCTGCCTCTACCTCCTGAGTGCTGGGACTAAAGGAGTGCACCGCCACGCCCAGCCATTCTATATTTTTTTTTAATGTGTATGCATATATTGCCTGCGTGTAGGTAAGTGCATCCATGTCATGCAGTGTCCGCTGAGGACAGAAGACAGGTGCTGGGAATCGAACCTGGGTCTTCTGTAAGAACAACCAGTTCTTAACTGCTGAGCCATCTCTCCAGCCCTATTCTATATATTTTTAAAAGTACATTTTCTCTTCGAAAGAACAAAAAATTTGAACCATTCATCCTTACAAACAAAACTAGTGAAGATAGAAACTCAAAGTATAAATTGGATCCAGTACACCCAGGGGGTATATTGAGGATCAAGATCTAAGAAAGTCATTTTATAACAACAAACCTTGCAACATGCTTGCAGATCCAGGAAAAGAGAGGTTTCAGCTATTAGAAAGGGCTAGGGTTCTGAGGAACCTTGGGGTGGGACAGGATTGGACTTGACAACAAAGGCCCTTCCTCCTCTAAATCAGGAAGAAAATTGGGGATACTTTGAGATACAGCAGACAGGAGAGGAGGATGTCCACAGCCAGTGATCCCACCTTCTTAGTGAAGAGGAATCAGGCAGACAGGTCAGCCTGAGACAGCTTCTGAGGACATAGTGCTTGGCATCAGCTCTTGTCAAGGAAGCTCGTCAGGTCACATGGAAAACTGAGCAAAACCTGAATGGTGCCTCAATGGTTAGGAACCAAAAGAGTGATCCTTACATTTATCTTTCCTTCTGCTTAACAACCTTTACAACTGTTAGAGCAACACATCTGTTTACACAGTCCCTCCCCTCCCCTCTGAAAGAGCATAAGAGAATATATAAAAGTAAAAGTCAACAGCCAGGCGAGGCAGCTCCCAGCACTCAAGAAGTGAGATAGGAAGAGTTCCACTTCCACAGCGCCCGGGGTACACAGCTGGACCCTGTCTACAAACAAAATATGTAAGTGTGTGGAGCACACATGCTCATATTCACATGCAAGTTCGAATTGATCCTGGATTATTTCATTACATTTCTAAGGAATGAGTGACCACATGTATATAAGAATATAAAATTGTACACTGTTGTAATACCTTGTAAACCTTAAACATTTGACTTAAAATTGCCAAAAATGCTATGATTATATCTGGTTCCAGTCTGATCATACCAAGTAAAATGTTTACCTGAAATTTTCTCACCGTCTATTTTTTTTTAAATAGTTCTCAGGGAAGCCAAATCATTTCTTCTTTTCAACACGTGCTGATCTCTGATTTGTCCTTTCAAAGGTGACCAGTTGTGCCTGGGTGCCTGACAGTTGCCAGCTCTTCACAGGGAGCAAGTGTGGTGTCATCACAGCCTACAGCAACAGGCTCACCAGCTGCATGGTAGGTACAGGCTCCCTGCCATGTGGTTTGGAACTTCATGTCACTGAGGGAAACCTGAGTGACAGGAAGTGTCCTTCATTTTAATGTGAAACTAACGTAAAACATTTGGACTGTAGTCCCTTCCCTATACAAACTCTTAGAAAATGAAAGGTTATATACCTCTCTAGATTTTGATTTATTAGGAAGTTATTTCGAAAATAATTATAAAGGTCTTATTTTTTGGCTTCAGAGACAGATAACATTTTGAGTTATGATCTGCTGTTTTTAAGACAGGATCTCACTTGTAGCCCAGGCTAGCCTCAAACTTGTGGAAATCCTGCCTCAGCCTCCCAAGTGCTGGGATTGCAGGTGTGAGCAGCATACACAGCTTCTTTCAGGGCACTTGTCTGCTTGCCTGTATTCTCAGTACCAACCTGAATGTTTAGGAAGAGAATGTAACATCATTTCTGTGCTTGAAAGGGTAGTGACCATAATATTCAGCATTCTCACATTCTTTGGTAAATTACATGGCAGCACAATTTGAACAGCCCATCTTAATTTCTCTTACTAGAAGAAAAACTCTGAGCTATTCACTGAACTTCTAAAATTTGGTATTTAAATAATAAAACAGCCTGCTAAAGAAAAGATCTATTATGCAGTGCTTCTTTTAATTTTCTGTCTCCTTTCTTGAATCAGTCACTTGTGTTCAGGATGTAGCAACTTAGAGTGCTCTTTCTAATCTAGAATCTTCTCTGGACTGTTTTTTTTTTTCCATTACAATTTTTGGAATTATATTAAATCTTTTACCGAGTGGAACAACTGTTCCTAGTATAGTATTACTACCAGGTTCTTACTCTAAAACCCTTGTTAAGGTTTCCCATTATCCCTGGGGTATAAATGTGACGGTAATTCTGTCTCTTACCTGAGGCGTCATTAAAATGTTTTAGCAGGAGTAAAGGGACCCAGTCAGCTTTCTGGGGAGACCCTGTAGAGCCTGCAAGGAGAACCATGTCTAAGACTGAGATGGGGGGCTAGAACAGGATGCAACAAGTGTGGGCAAGGAGACAGGCTCCGACAGGAGAGGAACTATCCCTGTGTCAGGGAGTCAGGGTCACTTGACCCTGTTGATGCCTATGTGGAGAAAAGAGGAGAAGCCATTTCACACAGGGGACCAGCTTGCCCAGCGTATGGGGTCCAAGGCTAAGTTGGGCCATGGAATTGTCTGTGGAATTAAGAAGGTAGTGACAGGGTGAAAGGGAAGGAGCACAGCAGAAGTCCACTGAGGCCAGAGGGGAGGGTCTCACATGCCGCAGTCACTAAGAGACCTGAACCAGGAAGTGCTGTAGCATCTAGAAAGTCCTTTTCCTCTGCTTCTAAACCCCAAAGACCTAAAGTGGATGCTCACCCTGTACACGTGTATCTGCCACTCATGGCTGCCAGCACCCTCAGTCACCACAGCGCACCCTGCGTTGCCTTACTGTGATGAATGTCTCAGCCCTTCCTCCAGGACAGCTGTCTGCTGTGCACATGGCACAGGTGCCTTTTAAAATCCGGCTTCATCTGTGTTTTGGTTTTTTTCTCCATTTGTTTTTCCCAGCGCTTTGAACAGCTTTGTTCTTGGTTTTCCTCATTTCTGTCTTTCTCATTATGCACCAACATAGTGTGCAGTGCTGGTTTAAAAAGAAAAGGAGCTGGGCGTGGTGGCGCATGCCTTTAATCCCAGCACTCGGGAGACAGTGGCAGGTAGATTTCTGTGAGTTCAAGGCCAGCCTGGTCTCCATGGTGAATCCAGGACAGCTGGGGCTACAGGGAGACCCTGTCTCAAAAAGACCAAAAAAAAAAAAAAAAAGTGAGTTGTTGGTTTAGGAGCAATTGCATAGAGAGTATCTTGGAATGTGGTAGATCGAAGGTATGGCTATTAAAACTCAAATGTAGCAAGATGTGCTTCTTTTGGTTTTGAATCCATGGTAGGCTTATGAAGGCTTATATTGCTATGGTTCCTATTATGTGTTTGCCTGAAAGCAGATTTTTTCTATCTCATTAATTAAATTTTTATTTTCTTCCTAAGTATTAGATAATCAAGTTATAAGAGTAGCAGTTACCACTTAGTGTCAGAGATGTGGTTTTACCAGCGCTTCAACAATCATTGGCACTGATGCTTTTATCCCAGGGACCATGTCAACATCCTGTATCCCTTAAGCTGTAGCGTGACGCTGATGTGAGGACAGAAGAAGGCTTCTGACATTCACTACTTTCTGTTCTGCAACTTTGCCCACCCACCAAAGGCCACGGTCCTGAAAGCATCTGTGCTACTTCAGGATGATAGGCTACTCATGGTCACATAAGACACACTAGAGTCCTTGTTGGAAGAGTTTTCCAGGGGTTCCTATGCAGCGCCTTCCTGTGCTGGTAAAGCATACCTAACTTTGAGCACTAACTGCTCAACTTGTTTGTCTTCCCCGATGAAGCCTAAACACTTTCTGGTTAATAGTGTTAATAGTGGGAGTTTTCTTTTCATGGGGTTGTTGCCTGTAACTCAGTTAAATGTTAAATCTGAAGGTGAGCCCTGGTGTTATGATGGTTGCTCTTGACTCATACTGCCTGCTCCCTTTTTTTTTTTAAAGCAGAATAGAAAAATAGACATTTTTTTTTGGATCTGAGAATACATACACACAAATAAATGCATACTAGCATGTGTGGCTATAAATTAAGACAAGGGTTGGTGCACCAGTACAGAGTTCCAGAAGTTGGCAGGGGGTTCTGAGGGTCAAAGACACGGGTCTCCTTTGGTGGCACATCTCAGGTCTCTGTTGAGCAGGCAGAAGAGGTTGGATGTAGCAGCCCTCCAGGCAACCAAGAATCTCCTTCTATGGGGCTTCTTGGAGCTGTGCAGCCAGTGGGAGAGGCGGTAGCTCCTGGGCCTTGGGCCTGCTATGGACTGAGCTGAGAGGTACAGACCTGCAGCTGGGAATGGATGTGGCATAGTGTACAAAGGGGTTGGTCCAGGATGTCCTTGAGGGCTAAGTCAGCCACCTCTTCAGAACCTTCAGTGTCAGAATACATACACACAAATAAATGCATACTAGCATGTGTGGCTATAAATTAAGACAAGGGTTGGTGCACCAGTACAGAGTTCCAGAAGTTGGCAGGGGGTTCTGAGGGTCAAAGACACGGGTCTCCTTTGGTGGCACATCTCAGGTCTCTGTTGAGCAGGCAGAAGAGGTTGGATGTAGCAGCCCTCCAGGCAACCAAGAATCTCCTTCTATGGGGCTTCTTGGAGCTGTGCAGCCAGTGGGAGAGGCGGTAGCTCCTGGGCCTTGGGCCTGCTATGGACTGAGCTGAGAGGTACAGACCTGCAGCTGGGAATGGATGTGGCATAGTGTACAAAGGGGTTGGTCCAGGATGTCCTTGAGGGCTAAGTCAGCCACCTCTTCAGAACCTTCAGTGTCAGGGCAAGTTCAGCCCGCAAAGCCCCAGGGCTCTCCTGCATCTGCAGCTGCTGCAGGTCCCAGGCCTGGGAAGAGACAGGAGCTGCACCTGACTTCCTTTAGGGCCATCCTTGGCCCTCTTGAAGGCTGCGGCTTTTGTGGGGACAGATACTTGAATTGGGCCATGTGACAGCCCTTTGCATCCAATGGGACCCTGAGAGGCCTGGAGATAGGAACTGCCCAGGTCCTGGTCAGCACCATGGCCATCTACATCAGGAGGAGCACACAGTTTTCAGCCACGTCCAGCTTCATTCTGGTCCTAGGAGATGAGAACTCAAGTGTATGTTTGAGACTTCCGCTGGTATCAGTCTTGCTTGGAGTCTCTCATTTCAGTCTTCCCCTGTGGATCTCTGCCTGCTACTATGTCCTGACTACATCTCTGAATTTCTAGCTGTATCTAGGACAGAACTGATACCCCTGCTCCATGGTGCCACTTTTAACCTAGCCTGATGGGCAGCGCTAGCTGACGTAGGAAAAGTAAATGTAACATCATTTCTGTTACGGAGTTAACATCAGCCATTAGGGGAGCTCCTGGCTGAGGAAGTCCAGAGCAGAGCAGGGCCAAGAGTTAGGTGAGCCACTGAAGCAAAAAAGAACTCAGGTCACCTGGGGCAGGGTGAGTCAGAATTCCCACAGGAAGCCCTTCACAAGGGCAGCTGCCACACAGGGACTGTCCTGGTGACCTCTTGCGCTCATCCCAGCTGGGGGTATTAGCTCCCCTAATGGCTGATGTTAACTCCGTAACAGAAATGATGTTACATTTACTTTTCCTACGTCAGCTAGCGCTGCCCATCAGGCTAGGTTAAAAGTGGCACCATGGAGCAGGGGTATCAGTTCTGTCCTAGATACAGCTAGAAATTCAGAGACGTAGTCAGGACATAGTAGCAGGCAGAGATCCACAGGGGAAGACTGAAATGAGAGTGCAAAACACCCCATGTTGGAGGGGGGTGGCCCCAGATGATGCCACCCTGGGAACCTGGAGCTTCCCAGCAGAGGACAACAAAGAAGAGTGGAGACAGAAGTCCACAGGGTGAGAGGGTGAAAGAGAGAAGACCCCAGGAGTGGAGTGGAGTGGCCACGGGCACCACTTCTCTCTATTTGATTAAGCGCGAGTATGTGGGTGTTCCCCATCTTTGATTCTTTAAATATAAAATATATATTTTATGTGAATAAAATAGCAATTAAGATAGATGTACTAATACCTAATATATCAATACAGACATATATCAAAACAGTAGAGAACAAAAAGGCAAGATGTAGAAGATACCTAAGGATAAGACTTTGCACATTTATAAAGTTTATAAACTTGGAAAACTGCGTATGTTGCATATAGTTCTGTAGCATGGAAGTATAAAAACTTACATGGGACATAAATACAGGATTTACAATAGTAGTGACTTCTGACAAGGAAACAACAGTATGTAAAGCATGTGCTTAATGTTAAAGTACTTTTTATTTTAAAATAATCGAAAATATAAAATAAGGTCATTGAATTTGGTGGGAAGTACATAGATCTTTATTATACTTGTTCTTTTTACATTGTGTGCACTGTTTATTTTGTGTGTTTGTGCTTGGGGTGGGCTTAAATGTACCATGATGCATGTGTGCAGGATTCAATTTTCTCCTTCAACATGTGGATTCCAGGTATCAAAATCAAGTCATCGGATCATCATGCTTGGCAGCAAGCACTTTTCCCCTCTGAGCCATCTTTCCCACCCTCATTTCAGTATTCTTCAAGGGGATATACTGAAATCCCAGGGCTAATAAACATCCTAATAAAGAAAGCAAGTCAGGCTGGGTGGGATGATGCACACCTTTAATCCCAGGCAGAGGCAGGCAGATCTCTGTGAGATGAAGCCCAGCTAGGACAGTGGGGAGACCCCATCTCAAAAACAAAAACTCATATCTGTGTGGCCATCTGGTATCTGTGACCAGTATGGCCTTCAGGCATCAGTTTGTAGCCTTTACTTTAGACAGTGTCTCTAACATTGACAAGTGACACAACATTGGTACCTATCACCAGGGGTAGCATCATACATTGTGCGATATCCATGAAAACGATTCTATCAAGAACTGTCACTTCAATGATACACTAGCAAATTTCTGGAAATTCATTCTAAAGATGTAACTGAGGAACAAAACTTTTATAAATGAATTTATAGCATTATCTATAATTTGAAAACTTGAAAGCAGTTCAAATATAAACGAAGGCACTCATATCAACTGTGATATATTAACTGTATAGAACAGGATAATCTTGTTAAAATTATCTGAAAATGATATCAAAAGTAGAAAATGTATAAGACATAAAATCACAACTGTAAAAATTATGTGCCTTTGAATAAAGACTAGATTAAAAATAAAAA